TATATAGAGATTGTAGATCTCGTCGTCCTCTACAAAAGGGATCTAAACACGTCCCCCTACGTCCATCCGTTCGGGAGTTATTGACGAAAAATATATATATATTTACTTTCCTGACTAAGTAACTCTGAATAAAATCCTCGTCAACGCATTAATGACGGGCACGTTTTTTCAGCTTCAATTTGAGCCGAAATATTAATATATTTCATTTGAATGCTATTTATGAGGAAGTTCGAAAGCACCGGCGCCTTCTAATTCAATTCGTTCACTGATAGCTTTCTCCACTGTCTACCAGAGGCACCACTAGTCATTCCCAGTTGCGCTGTGTAGAATGACATGTGGTGGACAGGCTGTAGAACAAGATGTAAATATTTCAGCTTCGAACGATTCAGTTTTAATGAATCGGAATTGTGATTAAAGTGTACAGAATATTGTACAGTTGTTCGTAAAGTAAACAACTTATTACGATAGATGTTCATAGTTAAATACGATTTGTAATAAATTCTGTATACCTCGTACAATGTTCTACGATCGGAACGACAGAGAACGAAAAGTGATTATTCAATCTTAATTGTGAAACTGTTTATTAAATAGTGCAGTTCTTGTTATTACAATATCAAGGAATCAACTGTCATGGGTACCTCTCAGACTTTATATATTAATCTTTTTACCGAAGATAAGATTCATGTTTTAAAAGAAGTAAGTGGAATAATAATTTGAGACCCGTTTGCCGATGTTCTTGAGAACATGGGAATATAAAAGTGTATTACAGTTCCTACATGCTTGCGCGGATGAAATATGTGGTAGACCAGGCCCGACTTACAGTAAGTTTGTAAATGGTATGGATTGGAGTAGAGAAGAATACGAGGAGACGTATAAATTAATATCGATGCTGTTGAGAAACCCTTCTTCTCTGCACTTGATAGAAGAAAAGGTAAAATCGATAGAAATATTTAAAGAAGGGACCTTGAGACGGAGATATTTTCTGTTACAGATGCCACAAGAGTATCACGAATTACCAGAACAGATTCAACAAAATATATTATCCTGTTTGAAGGTGAGAAGGGAACAGTTGGTAGACGCTCTGTCAGAGGATTATTCGAGAGAAAAACACGATACCGTGACCGACTTCGATTGGAGATTAAAGGTAGAACATAAACGACGTCTGCAATGAAATATCTGATACTAATACAGATTTGTTACTGCAGCTCGTAATGGGTTCTAGTAAGTTAGCTGCTCTGAGGGAACCCCTTCTTCAACTAGATCTCACCGTTGAGAGCAAGGAATCACGGCAGATCCTAGGCTTGGAGTTAAATAAAGACGAATTGGACACATTTATGAATGCAATGGAAAGTATAGTGCAGTAGTTTCAGGTATTAATTTTTTTCTAAATTCGCAATTGTAAAGGAAATCTGAAATAAAGAAGATCCATTTTTACACTTGTTTCACAGTTTATTATAGATTATAGATAAATGTAGAATAGTTTAATTACTATTATAACTGCTGATCGAAGATACTGAAGACTGTTGGTCTGTGCCTGAGGCGGCGTCGGCTCGAAACGTCTCATTTACAATTTTGTAATTTATCCGCGGGCAAAATAGATAAACGAGAAAGCCGGCGTCGACGGCGCCTCAGATGTACAATGATCGATCGAGTTCCGAGTGCACAGATCCAGTCGGGTTCAAGGATATTTTTCTATTTTTTTTATCGTTTTCCTTTTTTAGAAAAAAAGTTCGCTCTCGTTGCCAAAAAACTTGCCTCCAAAAAAATCGGTGAATTTCGTTGTAAAGACTTTACGGACATTATATTTAATGAAAGGTTTACTATACAATTTTTAATTTTACCTCTCTCTCCTTACTCGTTAATAATATACTCGTTTTGCAATGCCGGTCGCGGGCACAGTGAACGTTCGCTCCATCCGACACTCACAGTTATTCTGAGATTTTCCACCTTCCTTTCCCTCTTCGTTTTTTTTTCTTGTTTTGGAGCATTTACATACGTATCATAATGCGCTTCTTCCGTTTTTTAACTTTACGATCTACGCTACGGTTCTTAATAAAAAAAAAAGCTTTCATTTACTCCTGGCGATCCGTGAAGACGGATCACTCATTCGGTTGCTGAAATTGTGCATGTTCCTCGTAATTGTATAGTTAGGCGATATCTTTTTAATGATTATTATAAAATTACGAATAGGCTTCCTCGTATGTAAGTAGTTTCTCATATGGAGAAGTTTAGCATTTCGAACAAACGCCGAATTTACACAAACGCATTCTCTATGTCTAGATTATATATCACTTACACTGTTTTCTCGACATACTGTATTGTTTTTTTTTGTTCTTTTCATCATCTTCTTCGTGTGTCTGTGTGGGAGTGTGTGTAAAATGGTGTACGTGCGTTTCCATGAAACGTAATGCACGCGGAGATCGCGTGCTGCCAATGTCTCTGCACGGTATTACAATGCTGGTTTTGTGCCTCGTGTGCTCGCGCATACCGAAGTGGTCGTACGTAGAAGTGCCTCCGTTCCTCGTTACAACGTAAATACCTCGTCTCGATTGTACGATTATATAAAGAAGAAACAAGGACCGCGAAAGGAATACGAACAAAATGAATCCGACCGTCCTTGGAATCGCGATGCAAGTGTTCCATTACTCGTGCACTTCGACAGTTTTATCCTCTCAATAACGTTTTACCGCTCTGCTGCGTTTCCTGTTCACACTCCGGCAAAGAGATGCGCTCCATTGGTTCTTTCTTCCCGTTTCTCACCTGTCTCGAGCATCGCCACCTATACACCCTCTCTCTAATTCTATCCTCTCGCTCCCTCAGTCTCACTTTTCACGCACTCGTATGCACACGCACACCTTTTCTCTGTAAGTCTCCGATCTTTTCTTTTTCTGATTTTCTTTTTGTTACAATTTTCTTGTCCCTTATACTCTCTCGATATAGCAATATGTAGTTACGAGAGGGGGTGCCTCAATGAGTATTTCTTTTAACCCGGAATACGACTTACGTTTAGCAACAGTGACGGTCTCGATCGATTTCATAGTTTTATTCTCAGCAGGGCTTTTACGAGCGTCGCGGTTTAAAGTTGAGAAATTTGATTGTTCGGAAATGACCAGCTGAGTCACCCGCTCGAGTTGAACATCGTACATACATACATACATACATACATACATACATACATATATATGTGTATATATATATATATATATCGGCTCGACCTCGTGACTGTCGATCTTTCGGATGACATGGATCGTGGGGCACCGTCTCTCCTCTTTCGTGGACGATCTCTTCCCGCCCTGCCGGCGAATCAATTGTCAATAGGCCTACTATCAAGTTTATAATGCTCTCGGGATGTCGCGGTCACATCGTCTCATCGTTCCCATATTTTTTTGTTGCTCGTAACGAAAGAACATTATTTTTCTGTTTAGTTGCAGGAATGGTCCAAATATACATATCTATATAATATACTTTTTTGGTTTTAACGAGAGAAAAGAACTTTCTTCTTCCCAAAATACAATTCGGTTTAGGCGGTTGGTTTATTCGTTTATGTTGTTTTGGTAATGTGCGTCCGCGATTATTTCCTGCGAACAGCCAAATGAATCACACATTTCGATAAGAACGTTTGGAATGAACGAACGATCGATAAAAATGTTTTACACTTACGTTCGTATTACACTCGATGGTTGCCGCCGCAACAGCCTTATCGCTTATGTCGATCTCCTCGATAGCCTTTAACAAGAACGAAATGCGTAACGAGATTAGTAACAGGGTCACCAAGTCAAAGTACTTTCTTTTACGGAGAGAAGTCATTAGAATGAGAATTTTCAGATGGCCCCTCGCTCTATGTTCCTCGTTGGACATTACACGACCGTGAATGACCTCGGGATCGCTCGCGCGAGACCACGCGAACGATCGTTTGGCGATCATCATGAATTCTTAATCGAAGTAAAAGGAGACAATTGATTGAACGCATATATCACCTTGGCCACCGAAGCAACGTCCTCGGTGATGGCCGGTGCCGACGGTGGAGATGCGGGCACTTCACTCGGGACGGCTGGCGTTGTAACTTTGACAGCTTCGGCCGGACTCTCTATCGTACTGTCGCGAGCCACGTTATTTTCTACGGGCGCCTCGGGTTCCGGAGTGCTCTGGAAAATGCATACGCATCTGATCGTTAGGACATCCCCTCGGAGGATTTTCGCGGTATGTCGAACGCGTATCCGCGGCAAGTCCAAATCCCAGCATGCTACGAGGACGAAAGACGCGAGGAGGACGACTCCGTCCACTCGAAAACGGACAACAAGCGAATTCGACGATACGACGGATGACGACACGACTGGACGGAATCGTGCCTCATGCTCACGTTCGGACAGCGGCAAAGAAACCCTGCTGGTGAACCCTCGGATAAGAAAACTCTGCATGCGCAATACAAGATGCTTACGTACGACACAACAGATGCAATTTACGGAAAGAGCATATGACGGTATCGACGTGTCTAAATAAGATCTATTCGATGTGTTCTAAGAACCTCGGCTAGGAATTCACGATACCGGAAATGCTCGATGCACGAACGAATTTCTTTTTTTTAATCAACGATGCTCGAAGAAGATTTACCAAAGATGCGTTGGTGCAGTGCATCGTACATTCCCAGTACCGCGTATACGTCGTATAATTAGTTTAAAAATGAACGTCTATCAGTGAGATTCACGCTAGAGATTCGCCTAACACGAGCGTCTAATTGTTATAATTAGTGAAACAGCGTTCCGATGAAAAAGAAATTTTCTACGGAAACAACTTTGGCTCTAATCTCTCTAAACGGTGCAGCGAACGTTTCTTGCTCGTTCATAAATCTATATATAAATATGTGTCGAGCTACGAGAATGCTCTACTTTCATTTTAGCGCCTCGATTCGACTGAACCAAGTCGTGTTAATATCGTAAAGAAAACCAAGAGGCAAACAACACAGGGTGATGGCAATAACGGTTGTTCTGGTACAGTGGTTTTGGTGGTGGAAGCGTCGAAGGAGGTTGTCACAGTAAACAGAGTTTGTTAATCACGTGTGTCCGACAGAACGAAGGATGTATTAGACGAGACCCATATACTTTTTAAAAGAAAGATTCGATGCTTTAAGGATCAGAGAAAGACAGAAGAGGATTACGGGACGGCATGATTTCTCGTTTTTTCTTTGGATCCTCTATTTTCCGTGCACGAAGAAGATAAACGCCAGGACATCAGTTTCGGTTCGAGGGGATTGAGATTCGTGCAATAAACCCACAGACACGTGTCACAAGTGCGTCAAGTCTCAGTCTCGTTCGATAAACCCTTCGCGTATCACGTTCACTGCGGGAAAAGTAAGCGAAGGACTTTTATTTGCGAACTTTCACTGTATTTGCCTCCGACGAAGGTCTCCTACGTTCGCTAATCGGCAAAGCTGCTGTGATCGACTAACATGGGAACGTTTGAACGTGCCGTCTCTTCTAACAACTACTGTGATACCGTAGGACGACTTCACACAGTACAGGAGTCATCGATATCCTGAGATAAATCGCAGTCCTCTTCTCCATGCGTACAAGGTATCAATCGCGCCGCGCTTATCGCATTGAACGTGATGTATGGAACGAGGCACCTGACGTTATCGTCCTTCATTTCCGCGATCACGTCGTTTTAACTATTTTTTATCACGCGCTGTAATATTGACGCGAATCGTGACGATAACGCGAGGCACCTTGTCCTCTGCGCGAAGAGAGAACGTCGCAAAGCGAGGGTGGGACATGGAAGTATCGGATTGAAAGGCGACTATCTCGGGACTCGACACGCGATGGCTTTTCTAAACGGAGATAGGCAGGTAGAGCGTGTGTGTGTGCGTGTATGGTTCGTGTGCGCGCCCGTACGTTCGTCGTATATGCGTTGAGGTGGCGGAGCACCGGGAGATTGTAAACCCACGAAATCGGGAGAGCACGGGGCCAACAACGGGAGAAACGGGACGGGAAGAGAGTCGATGTATTTTCAGACTATGTTCCACAGAGACGGCTGGTTTTTGTGCGGACCGTAACGACGAGATACTTTGGAACGAGGCGCGCCCCACCAGAAAAGGTATATCGGCTGCCTGAATTCATGCCAGGAGGTTGTGTTACATGTTAGTCACCTGATGGGTCTCCTGGACAGTGGTCGACGACGTGGCGTTGTTCGACAACAGACACGAGACCGAGTTCTCTTCCTGCTTCTCAGTCTCCGCCAGAGACTCGGCTAATCTCTCCTTTAACTCAATGTCGGACTCATTGTACGAATTGAGGCTTATCGACACCGATTCCATCTTGAACTCTCGATTGCTCTGGTCGTCGTACAACTGTGTCTGCGAGGAGTCTTTAGTGGATGTTGTCAGGCCGGACGTGATACTGACGTTGGACTGGGAACTGGGACTTTGGGGTGGTGTCAGTAGTGTCTCTGTCGGGTTTCTCACGTTCTCTTCGGGTAATGGAAGCTCGCACTTCGATTCGGACAGATCAAGCGGACAGGAGAGCTCTTCCGGTGGTAATGGGTAATTCAACGAATCTATCTGTTCCACGGAACTGTCGTCGGGCGCTGGGGGTAGGTCGTCCGTGGGACTGGGAACGTGTTCTAGTCTTGACGAGGGGAAATTCGTCTGAGTCTCGCTCACGAGGTACGTGACGTTCGCATCGGCAACGGAAATGTCTAACAGCGACACAGGTTCGTCGTTCTTCTCGGGAACGGGGAGATCCGCGACGGAAAGCTCGATCGTGTCGATTCGTTCGTCCTGCAGTGAAACAGGAGTTCCGTTCTCCGCTCGTTTCTCTTTCGAAATCTGCGGTTCTACGTCTACGACGGGGGAAGGCACTGTGTTTAGAACGTTTGCGTTCTCGGAATCATATTTCTCCCCAAGGCTAGGCACGGGTGATTCTGGGAGCGGAGGAGGCATCGACTCCTCCTCGTTTGTCGGTTTGTCCGAAACGTTCTCGATCGACGTGGCGCTTGGAATCGGTCGAACGAGGTCGATCGTCTCCTGAGAAACGAGTGAATCTCCGGGTTCTTCTTGCTTCTCAGAAATAAGTGTCTCTTCCGTGGGTACAGTAATATCGGACTCCGTCTCTACCTCCAACTCGTCTTCCACGCTCGGGACCACTTCGACCGACTCGCTGTTGGTCTTTGAAACGTCGGCCTCGATCTCTGTCACGTCTTCGGTCGTCTCCGTGACTTCCTCGTCCACCGGTATGACGACGGCCGGTTTCGCTTCCACCAGGATCTCGTCTGAAACTGGAACAGGGCCTTCCTCCGACTCCACGATGGTCTCGATGGTCACGTCCGACGAGCAAAGTTCCACGACCTCTTCCACCGGTTCTGCCTCTTCCTGAACGGTCTCGTCCGGCTCAATTACTCGCGCGATCAATTCCTCGTCCTGATCCTTCGCGGGTTCCGGTACCGTCTCTTCTTCCACGACGCATTCCACCACTACCTCTTCTCGTTTGGCCTCGATCAACTTGCTGCCGTCGTCGTCTGTTCTTCCAGGCGATTCAGACGGAGGTACGACCTCCTCGTCCACTTTCGTCTCGTGAGACTTCCCCGACTCGGTCTTTTCAGGGATCGGTGCCTCCGCGAAGCTCTCGGGGAACGACGATCTCGGTATTTCGGTCAGGGCGTCGTCCAAAACAGGCACGTCCGGCTCTGCGGTCTGACCACCGTCACCGGCGCTGAGCGAGTCTAGATTGTCCGCGATCGCGACCGAGGGATTGGGCGAATCGGAATATCCAGCCGGAAGAGGCTCTACGCTCGGGGGGACGAGAGTCGATTCTGTACGGGGTTCGTCAACGGAAGACCGAGACTCGATCTGGGGTTCGGGGGCTTGTACCGTTGGTAGCGACGGGTCGTTATCGCGCTCTTGGCCGGGGGACAAAGTCGACGTTTCGATGGTCGAATCGTCGTGAGCAGCCTCGGCAGGCAGCTTGAAGGCCTCTGCGAGCGCGGTCGCGGTCGCCGCCGCCTGCTGAGCCTGCTGCAACGGCGACGAGTCGATCGGAGTGGGCGGTGGACTGGATGGGGGCAGGGAAGGAATATCCTCACTGGTTTTCCTCTCAATGATAGACGGCTGCGTAGCGACTGTCTGGACTCGGAAAACGGAGACTTCTACCGGGCCCGGTGCGAGCTGACCACCGGCTGGACTGACCTCGACTACTTTTTTCTCGGCCTCCACTTTTTCGACTTCCTCTTTCTTTTCGGCCTCGACAGGGACGGGAGTTGGGACAGAGGGAGTGGGTTCCTCTGTCTTTTCCTCGGCAGGGCTACCAGCAGCCGTCGCTGGGCCATCTTCCTTCGCTTCGGTCGCTGCCGGGATCGCCGCCGGTGCTACGGGGGCGGCTTCGTTCTCCGCGGTCGGACTACTCACTGCTGACTTCTCCTCCACCGGGCTACTCGCCGTGCCCGATCCATTCTCCGCTTCCTCTCCGCCCTGAAACAGATCGTACATCGTACTGTAGTCTACGGTTTTATCAACGACGAACCTTCGCGATACAAGGTTCGCAATGAATTTCGTGGTGCACGGTCGAAAAAACAGAACGATATCGCTCGTTCCTTTCTCGGAGCGTCTGACTCAACGGTCGTTGCTCTCGAATGGAAAGAGAGGGGTGAACGACTCACACCGGCTCGTAGACAAGAGACATGTTCACAAGAGGGTGGACGCGCGCAGGGGTACAAAAAAAGGACCACAGGGCACCGTCACCCTTGCGGGACCGGTCATTCGTGTCACTGTGTCAGCGTACGCTTTGCAACGCATCGCGTAATCGATTCAGACTTTATCAACGATAACCCGTGCTAGCCGAGTGATGCTTTTACTTAAGGATGTATTGTCAATCCCAAAATATTGAAAAATGTTTCAAGTGAAAGTTGTAGGTACTGCTATTACCTACTGGAAAAGTGATTACCATAAGAATGCATGCAAATTTTATGTCTAAATTTAAGTATATAGCCTATACATCCTTAATTGAGGATTACGAAGAAACGACAAAATTCCTGTCGGTCGTTCGGCAGTGAACGCTCGTGGCTCGGCGTAAATACGAGAAATACGAGCGGAACGAAATCAATTCTTGAAACCGAAGAGGGAAACAGAAACCGGACGTGCGGAGTGCGGCGCGTGCTTTATCGTCCCCAGACCTCGGTATCGATCGGCTGGTTAAGTGAAACCCCTTCTCGCCTGTTCCTCCCATGCATTTTCGTAAGGGGTAAGCCTCTCGCTTAAAGAATTACGGCCTCTGAAGGGTTCCGCACAAGGGCTTTCTAAACCGGAGTGTTTTTTCTCAGACATCCCGCGATCCCCGTGTTTCGCCAGCATCGCGTACACAATTTCTCTTTACCAAGTCGACGAAAAATCTACCCCCGTTCGTTTCTACGTCTGTGTTCACGTAATAAAGTCGATCGTTCGAAACCTTCGCGATACGAGATTCGCAGCGAATCGAATAGCGGCGGGCAGACGCGAATTCGTGTTACAAATTTGGCCAAACTTTGGACGCCGAAAGAACGACGACTGGCCGTCGGCCAGGATCCGTTCTTCTTCGGGCTGTTGTCCTTCGTCGTGAGAAAGGAGTGGCATCGGCTGTAATAAACTTCCGATCGGCCTCCGGTTTCTTCTCGCGGTGAGATCGATCGGCGGTTCGCGTGCTGCCCGTCGACGTGTCATTGGCTCGTGACCAACTTTTGAGTAGGTCACAAAACCGACGCGAGCAACTTTATAGAAGAGAAACCGAAGAATCCCGAGAGTTTCGCGGTTTAAAAAGCTTCACGACGTCTTATTGGCTACCAGCGATCTGCCCTCAACTATATTTAAGGATGTATTGGCTATACAGTCAATCCCAAAAGTTTATGTATCTTAGAAAAACGCATTTACTATAATTAAAAAGAAATCAGACGTCGGAAGAACAATGCTAATAATAAATAGCTACGTGCTAAAAAGTATAGAAGGAAATATTCAATTAATTATTGACGCTGGCG